TCCAGCTGTTTAGCGGTGATTGTGGTTCGCGGTCGTTTGTTCGCGTTGTCCAGTTCGGCCTCTGCAACACAGGGAAGGATCCTTTTAAGGGTGCGCAAAAAGTATTGAACTGTACTCGGATTTCATTTAAAAAAAAGCGGTTGATTCCCCTAATAATACTCGCTATTCAGTCCCCCCCCCCTTATCTCCCACCCTACATGCGTACACGTTATTGAATCGTTCTAATCTTTGAGTTAAAAATTGAAATGACGTGAATTCTATTTCTCTCCAAAAAAACTGCTATTTTTATTGGTTTGCTTCTGTTGAACCAAATATGCACCAGACGATATACAATCTGTCATATCCGAGTTCTCATTGCTGAGTGACTAGTCACCAGGACGATACATGATCATCTATCTGCTCAACGCGCAACCCAGACCATCCCCAGTAGATATGGTACGGTTCCAATTGCTTATCACATTCACTCGGTGCTCGCCTTTCATCGTTTCACTCCAGGCAATCGGACGGTGTACAACAGTGGTTATAATTTTGTATCGAGAATGAACAAAGCGCCTCATGCAGCGAATGAGATGAAACTAATCTGGACAATAGCAGAGCATGAGAAAGTGAACGTTCCTTACTGACAAACACTCACTGATTTCGTACAAATCAGATCAACTGAAACTTTCCCATTGAAAATAGTGACCACTAAGTTTACAATAACCATGTACTACCTTTGGATCCTGGATATCATTCGAATTGATGTTTGGAAAGTTAAAGTTTTATCTTGAAATTGTGAAAAGTTCAGTAGCCTCGGTGGGATTCGAACCCACACATGGACGCCGCTTACGCTTTTGTACAGCGCACGCTCTACCAGATGAACTACAAAGCCAGACGGGCAACACTGGTCATTTCACATTTGTATCACCCATCCAACTTACAGACATATAGCACCCACCAGGTAGCATGTAAGCTGACCGCCACGACGAGTTTTCCTTAGAATTCAACGGAGTCCGCACAATGAATTTCTAAGGCTAGGTTAATTTTTTAAAATGATGTTTAGATATCAATCTAACCGTTTGGGGGATTAGATAAACCCACCCGAATCGGCTCTAGATGAGTAATTTTATTTGGAAATCGATGAATTATGGCTTACGTTGAAAAGACCATCTTGAGCGACTCTGTTATTCTTTTGATATGATGATAAACTATTGAGTTGAAAGCTTGGAATCATTGGAGTGACTTGCACAGACTGATTAGAAGGCATTATGTTTCATTATTAACCAAGTTGTGGGACCAGTTATCTGACTGGGTAATATATTTCACAAACTATTGTTCACTTCTTTCAACGCAGTTGCACAAATCTTGGCAAATCAAAAGTTGAGTTATGTCTTTGCAGCCGTTTAATGGAATGGGAAGTATCACCCTGATGTGGGGTCACGCGACAACCGGAAAGGCATGAAAACCCTCTATGGTTTTCACGGGCGGTTCATGAAATAACAATGTCACTGAAACTTATTACCACGTGCGGCAGTAATTGTGGTTTTTAACCAAACGGTAGAACCACGATAAAAAGTCTATCAGATTCCATTTTTGAGCGTCACTCAACCTTTGACCGGATGAACTGACACTCTGTATAGCTGGATGATTGGTCGAGTCGTGACAATACAATACACAAACGATGGTAAATACCAATTTGAAATTTATGACACGGATCATTTAAACAAGGATAAATTTATTTTAAAGGTATTTTGAGCTCGGTGAAATGAACCATTAAACTACATATAGGAGACTCACGGAATGTGTAATTTCGGGAAATGGATCACAGAGCACAGAGACCTTGGTTTTCCCCATAGAGACGGCTTGAGTTAGTGCCGGTTTGAGAATAGGGGTAAGTAAGGTTATAAAAACGAAACATCTAATTTACAACAGTGGATTACTATTTTCCTAAACATATCTCCATCGGTGATCATCAACCCGATAGACTGTCTGTCTCTTCTGTATTTGCAATAATAAATCATTACATTCACTCGGGGATGCCATGAAAATCAATACTAAAAACACTACTCATAAATGTGAGCAGTACTTCACAACACTACTACTCCACTACATCTGATCTTCCTAAAAATAGCAATTTGCAAAACTTCCCTTTCGACATATACATGCAAGATGTAATCTTTCAGACACGCTCCACCGTTCATTCTAAAGTACTTGATGTTACAATACTAAAACACAAATACTTCGTCCGTACCTTTGTGAATCAAACGGGACCAATGAAAGTTTTTACATTCTCAATGTACTGATTTGTAACCATTCGCATTTACCGACAGACTTGGTAAAAACGGAACACCAACTAAAGCTGATAAGGAGTAACCTACCTCTGGCTTTTGCAGCCTCGAAATCGAATTTGCACATCAGTTTACGATCTCGTAACAGATAGAATTCATCTCCGGTATTGAGCATACGATCGCACACCACACAAACGAAACAGTCCATGTGATAGACATTGGACTGCGCGGTTCGAACCACTTCCGACGGTGGAATGCCTTTCTCGCAGCCGGCGCATTTTGTTCCGAACCGTCTGACGCGGACCGAGACATAATTCCGGTCATGTTTGTAATTCAATAAAGGGAGAAATGGGGGGTTGTTTAGCCCAAACTGTTCATTTTCGAACACAAAGATGCTAGGTGGTTAGAGAATCCTTATCAGTGTGAAAGTCCATTTACTTATTTCATGGCAATTTGATAAATGGATTTCATTGACTCCGTAACACCAATGATGATATTACTCAGATCAACGAGTAGTATGTGTTTTTATTGTGTCAGTCCTTTCACTATAGCCCTGTTGGGAAGACCAAATATTGCCAGATATATCGAAAGTAATGGGATGAACTTAGGCCTGTCATGAGACACTATAAGAAACAAGGATAACTATTCCACACTCAAGAGGTAGAAGGCAATCTCGATGATCAGATCCATTAACGAGGGACGGCATAACAGTAGGATCCAAACCGGGGTTGCCGTTCGTCTGTGTTTTTGTGCCAAGAGTAGATATCGCTGCGCTGGAATTGCACATCAATGAGTGTGTCTCGAACAGAATTTGTGTCAGCGGTGATTGGTTTATCCTAAAGCGGGAAACCGAAACAAATATTTGGGATATCCAATAGCGCAGCCAGTTGGAACTTGAAATACGGCTTTGCGGAGCACAATAGAATAACAAAAAGGTGTACCGGATGCTTCTACCCAACTTGGCTGAGGGGGTAGTCAGATAATCCGTTTCAAATGAACAGTACAGTACATTCAGTGTCGTTGCCGAAGAACCCGATACTCCGTTTTGTTAATGCAGTTCGAAAATCGTTGTTGATAAGCTGCGAAATCTGTGGAACATTTATCTCATTAAATATATACTGTGTGCTTAATAGGCTGTCTGATGTAAAGGCATAAGATGTACCTTAAATGGATTGACTGAAAGATTGATCCCCAAAATGAGGCAGTGCACAGTTGGCCATGGAATGTTATCAACACACTGAGTCAAGCGATCACACTCTAAAACTGGTTCACATCCGGTTGATTAGCGTAGTTATGACTAAATAACGAAGGGCCTGATTAGGCACACCCAATTTTATTCGTCCTGAGAACAAGGTACGTTGATCGTACACCCACATTCCCGTTCGAGCAAACTCCTAATCCGCAGCCTGTGTGATTGAGCAGCCAGTGGAGCCAAGTTTCGAAACTATGGCGGATAGGCCGGTAAAAAATAACGGATGACCCTTAAAGCCGGCTGATCAAAGTGCAAACTGGAGCAGAACAACCTATCAGATGTATCGGGATGATCAATACCTTTTATTCGTGGAACATCATTGTATTTCTCTTACTGTTCTTCCAAATGAGCAGCCAAAATATGGCAATCAAAACCGGCGCTCAAAAGTGCATGGTTAATGGTTGTATAAACTGAACTGAACTGAACTGAACTGAAATATCATTTTGGACAGATGTTTATGATGTGATTAGATCATGTCCGATTTTGATGAAGGCTAACGTTTATGCGATCATTTACAGTGTGAAATACAGCTCGGGTACGCATCAATCCTTCATGTCTGCAATCTAATGAAACGGAGAAAATAATACAAGATACTTTTTATCACCCAGTCCTCATTTGTGTGAATGCAATTAAAGTGTTTCTTCACAATGGGACCGATAGGCATTTTATCCATCGCGGAGCTAAACAGTATTCATCTCCACTACTCCTCCATATGAGACCAAAGGCAGATCGTTTGAACTCGCGTACTCCCAAGACCGAACCGTCACCCCACCATCGGTCCCGGGAACAGGTGATAACGGGTTCTGGATGAAATCAACCTCCGATTAGAGGAAAAATCCAGACTCAATTATAAGAGCACTTAATAAATCCTTCCTTTCCTTGGCAATCTAATAGTTGCAATCGAAGAGCTGACAAAATGTTGTGTTTTCATAAGTATTAAACTAGAAACAGCAGATGATTTCGGTGAAGAACAAAAATTTCGAAACTGCACGATATATGATTTCGAAATCATTTCGCTGGTTTACAATAAATGTTCCGCAATACAAACCAACCACAAGTCGAGAGGCGTATGTTGGATACATACCACCAGGTCAATAGCGATAACTCATTCGGAACAGGGAAGTTAGAAGCAAAAAAATTGCCGTGTTTGTTTTCCCATTCAAATTCCTTAGGAGATCTAAAGGTTTCTGAACTATCTCTGTTTCACCAGAAATTCACGTTTATTGTGAAATTTAGAGTTGACAGCAATCAATCGATGGAAACCCCCATCGTGTGTCAGCTGCCTTGGATATCCCCTGGTAATGTGTCAGTTTGTTTCATCTTACTGATTGTTTACGACTCAGTGTATTGTTGATATTTAGGTCCATCATTTCTGCCGTAAGCACCAGTCGAGAACCGGCAAGACGATTGGGCAAATACACCGTGCAGTTTGATAATGTTGTGTTTTTTGATTAAATTTTTGTCGAGAAAAGAATATGTCTAGTTTGTCAAACGAGCTGATTTTAAAACTCTGTTATTATACTTTTAAGGGATCGTTAAACAACACTAAAAATAACATTGATTTTCACCATTAATATTGGCATTAATAATAATTATTATTATGATTATCATTACTGATGTCTCCGTGGTTTGAATGAAGCATCCAAGCTAAAGGTTTCACGTACTATTTCTACAAAAAAAGGTAGAATAAGTTCGGGGAATTTTACCTGGTAGTATATCATTTTTCGTTACACCGACGTGAGATAGGTTATAGGATTGTACACATTCAACGAGCTGACCACAACCACAGCGTAGAACTATGAACTTTATATCTTCATCATTTATATAATTTGGTGGTGGTACAAAGCGACTAAAATTTTAAACTACTAAAAAGGATTTGTTTGTGATAAGCGACAAAGAGCACTGGATCAAGACTCGGTTTCTTCTAAGACGTTCAGTTCACCGTGACCACCGCTAGATGTTTTGGGTTCCCTCGGGTGCATCATCTTATGACTTTTATTGTAATATTTTTATTATGTAATAAGAGATGAATATGAGGAGAAAATTTACCGCTGATGGTTGGAGCCCTTGGTGGTCGTTGTTTATGACCCCCTCAAAAAAAGAAGAAACGAAACTTACCGAAAAAAGTCCGTTTTGCAGTAAACTTCATCCGTGCGAATGAAACACTTGTCAGACAAATAGATACCGCAATCCATACACTTTAGGCAAGCCGTGTGCCAGTGCTGATCCAAAACTTGCATTATGGTCCGGTCCAGAACGAGCTTTTTGCACCCGGCACATTGAGGTACTGCACAAATCGAGTACAGACAGAAATGAGATGTGAGCAGATTGAGGATGGGGCTCGTACAGGTAAAACGAGTAAGGCGAAAATCGTTTAGTTGTCCTGTTATGACTATGTTGGAATTCGCGAACCACTCAAATTCCAAAAGAGCCCTGGTTGCTCAGTTATCAGGTAGTAAGAAATGTATTGGAATGTATGCAAATAAGACCGTTCGACGGTTGATAAGACACTGAACCATACGTAACTATTTTAAAGGCGACTGGGAGGGGGGACTTGAACCCTGAGGTTGACCTATCTGCATCCCTCTCCCAAGTCCCACCGTTGCATTTGTGTCCATATAGGCATAATATGCAGATAGCTACTGATGTTTTGAATTCTGCTCTCAGATTATAATGGAATTTACCGTAGGAATATTTTCCCTAGATCTCATGGGACTGGAATGTTGCGATTCAGAGGTTCAAACGATCTGCTTGTTTGTCTTGCCCATGAATTTCTGTACCAACGCTAACCCATCGGTTAGACCTGCATGCCTGAATGGTAGTTAACACGACAGAGACCTCCGTTTAATCAGTTGCTTAGGCAGCACCCGCTGCTCAATAACCGGATTGGGACCGCAGATGACAGCCCAGTTGTGGTCAGAACCGATTCCGAATATGAGGTGTGATGTGCGCGCCCGCGCGGGTTGGGAGTGTAAGGACCCAGTAACCATATTACCAGACATGCGGGTCAATTTAGCTCCAGTCCGTTCGATGCAAATCGTGTGACAACCACGTGGCTCATAAAACCAGGCCCAACAACTTTTCAGTCTAATCGTACGAAATTAAGGGGTCCGATTTGACACCTCGATTTCCGCACAATCGAGAGTAGCGAGGCCAGCAATGAACACACACAAACAAATGGTCTATTATCTCCGACCCGCACCTAAGCCGAGTGACATTTTACGATGTTTCTGTCTGTCTGTCTGTCTGTCTGTCTGACTTCTCAACTCTCGTTTGTTCTGATGTACCCACTCCCTTTTCATCGTTTTACTCCCATCTCATCACGGATATTAATAATTCTGGCCACTGACCAAGCCCTGGATCACCTTCGGTGGGCTTTGTGACTTGGAGTGATCATTTGGACGGACTATTGTACTTTGACGAACACATTTCTCATGACCTTAAACACAACTATAAACGTCTAATGTTAGGTCTTGCATAGCGGACGTATAAGCCCCAGTTTACCACGCGAATAGACGTATGAGGTCTCATTACAGATGTGCGTTTAGCATGCATTTGAAGATTTCCCGTTTTGGTGACCTTTCCGTACTCCTGTACTGTTTCTGTTTCTAGTTGAGGAGGGCAATGGAGACTTTCACAATTCTTAGACGAAAGAAACAATTGTCTATTTAACTACGGCTGACGCTACAAGTTTGTTTTTCTGTTCCAAAGTAGTAACTGGCCCTAAGGTGATTGGTTTACTCAATGATCACTATGATGGATCACGTCTCAAATGTATTGGTAATATGGGTGTGATACGATGGAGACGGATGATGAGCTCCATCAAATCGGTAGGAAGCTGAATCAGTGACTGTTCATTCTTCGTGAGATTTCTTCTCCAAGGTTGTCAGCTAATACCAACGACTCACACAATGCGTGACCTGTTTCGCCACTAACCCCTTTTCGTGGTATTAATGATGAAATACCGGTTACACACTCCCGTCAATAAAAGTAAGTTAAGTCCTCTTCTCGTTGGTATATTTCCGTTGCCGCAGATTGTAAACTTTTTTAGGCGTCTTTTCCTTTTAGAGTACCGGAATGCAATTGACGTAATTTGCAGTAAATATTTTGCTTGTCCATCTATAATAATAATAATAATAATAATAATAATAATAATAATAATAATAAATATTTGATTTCTTTTTAATCTATTGAGTATACTGATGTGCAACCAACTTTCAGGAAATGAGTCACGGCCATAAAAAAGTTGACTTAAGAAATACGGAAATGGGAAATATGGGCGGTGTTGATGGGATTCGAACTTCATCTTTCTGTCTATCCATTCCTTTATTGTTCCATCAACGATCGAACATTCAGCGATTCGGTTCGATATGCTTCATTCATTTTGAGTACAATGCGGTTTTTCATCTCCTCTAAATTTCTCATTGGTTGTTTAAAATGCGTCTGTTTCACTTGTGCGGCTCTCTCTCTCTTCATCTTTTCTCTCACCAACATCTACCTGTCATTTTGTTGTGGGTTCCTCATGGCCCTTCTGACGTCACTATCGAGTTCCTCTAAAAGCTCACCGAAAGGCAGTGTTCAAATCAATCTTGTTTGAAGTCCGCGTGGAATAGACTCAGACTCTTTGTGCTGTTTGCGATCCGTGTTCTACCGGCTGGTTTTGCCAAACAACCATCAGATGGGTACTGAACATCGAAAAGCGATTTGTCAAGTTTTGAGAAAACTGCGGGCGTTAGATAATACTTGCTTTCTAATGAACTCATAGAACATAGGATGGGAGAGTGAGATAAAGCCATATGTAAATGCATTAGAATCAGTTAAGATAGATTCGAAGTATTGGTAATGTATGTATCCTTCACATCATTCAATGAGAGTAGTGAAAGGAGTAAGAGAACGTATTTCCACACCAAGGAGCTAATGGCAGACAAAGATCAACCATAATGAGCGATTCAGTGATGTGGGCGAAAGATAATATAGAAGCTTATTTAACACCACTGCTCACAAGTGACTGAGAGCTAAATTTGAACTTAATTGTAGCCTATTAGGTTTGTTGCGAGCTTGTCCGAAGCTGTATGGAAGTCCTAATTGGATGAGAGGTTTTCGAATGACGTAAACAAATCCATAACTGTCTTCTTTCGTTGCAGTCGAACCCAGGTAACTAAGTGATCACCAGTGAAGACGATACCTGGACAAACATGAATGGGTAATTCGGATCAGCCCCGGGATGAGCTGGTTGACACAATGGTCACATACACGCCTTCCATACCCGATGGTTCGGGGGTGAAACGCCCGCATGAGATGGTGGATATGCATTGGTGATGAGCTCTAATAAGAGCAAAACTGGAGTCTAGGGCTTCCTGGTTACGTGGCTGACTGGATGAACTGATGATGAATTGTGCATGAATATGAAGTCTGAAGGATGATCCGCCTATGTCAATATACATTCCATTGTGTTTTCGTCGTATTATGTCTGGTTCCAGTGAGCTGTGATGATCAAGTGACTATTACAAAAGGAGCCTTGTAAAAAGTGAGGACTTGATATGGGATGAAAGACTGGATATGAAGTCTTCCGAGACGCACGAGTTACAGGTTCACCAATGTGAAGGCATTAGCATACGGAAGAGGACAATCAGGGAGGAGCAGAATGGTTAACGAATTGTAAGAGTCGTAATGCACATTGGGGACACAGGGATTACGCCGGTGGGATAGAGGACTTGACGACATCGTAAATGACTCAATTTTTCAGGTCCGAAACATCAATGCGACTCAGGTCCGAATCGAGCGAAGCAAACACCTACAGTCAATCATGACATGTGATTATCGCGAAAGTAAAGGATGTCTTGTAAAAATGGGGCCGTGTAGGGTGGCACCATCGACCAAATTATGAATGGGATTAAGAGTATGCGATAAGAAGTCGTCAATGACGAAAAGACAGGGGTTGGAAAATAACACGGAACCTTGTGGGGGGCCAAAATTAACTGTGAGTACTCTCAAAGTGACTCCATCAACACAAACCGAGATTGATTGGTCACAAAGAAAGACCATATGAGGCCTTAATAGAAGAGGCATGGTATGGCAGCGTGCGACGACGGGGCTGTGTATCATCATCGAGTTTTCAACACCAGGATAAATATTTATGGAAGAAACTGGAGTAAATGGTGTCAAAAGGATTAAGAAGAAGAAGATCAAAGCATTTGGGATTTGGATCACAGACCATATTCAGAAAGACGTTGAATAAGAATTCCTCGGCTAAAAGCGTTCGCATGACAATGCAAAGTTAAACGATCAGCAGCAAAATATCTAATAACGTCAAGTGTGGATAGACCTAATGCGTAGGCAACTCGGAGGAGATCATGTGAGTAGCATAGCAATAAAATTCGGAGCAGCTAAATATTGTTAGATACTTTCAGCAACAGAGAGATGCATGCAGTGGGATTGTAGTAGTACAGTGAGACTTTCTTGAAGGTCCGTCTTATCTGGGCTGACCTCCAGCAATCGGGGGTCATTCGGGATAAAAAGAAACACATGTTGGAGAATTCAACAACAGGTTTTACAAGCTGTACAATACCGGTTTTCTATAAGAATGTGAGTGAGGGATGATAATCGATCGGGACCAGAATATTAGTTGGTTGCGNCTTCAATAAGTGAAGAACCGCTTCCGGAGAAAATAGTTCAGTATCATCATTAGTTTTGCAACTTAGAGGGTGGTGGATTCAGGTACAGTAGCATATTGACGATTCAGCTCTTTTTTCAAATCGTTGTTTGGCAGATTGAAGTCTTACGCTGAAATTGTGAAAAGTTCATAAGCCTCGGTGGGAATCGAACTCAAACTAAGGAAAACCTATCGTGGCGGTCATCTTACATGCTACCTGGTGGATGCCGTACGCATCTGTAAGTTGGATTCGAATGTGAAAAGATCAGTGCTATTGGTGTGGCCTCGTAGCTCAGCCGGTGGAACGTGTACTGTACAAAAGCGTAGGAGGCTTCCATTCGTGGGTTCGAATCCCACCGAGGATATTGAGCTTTGGATCTTCTTTCCCATTTTTTTTAAAATTTTCTTTTATTGAAGAAATAGGGATATTATTTTCAAGAAGGGAGAAGGGGCCAATCAAAGAACATAATGAGGCAAGTCAGGCGTTGGTGGTGGGATTCGAGCCCATATCCTCCGAAGCGATAGTTTGGTGACGTTACCACCACCACTTTTTCTGGGATAAGATTAACTCAGCCTGAAATATTTGCA